ACCCTTCTATTTCTTCCTTCAGAATTCTCCTCCCTCAGTGTGTCTTTTCCAGCTTTCCCCTCAAAACAACCACTTAAGGAAGCCTCAGTACTAGTGTTCACAAGACTGATGCCATTCTCAAGTTGTGGATTCTAAAGAATGGTCAGTTTGATAAACACAGTACCAAGACAGCAGAGGTGGGCCTGCTTGGAAACAAGATCTGTCCAGCACCTGTAATGTGTTGGCATATCCTTAGTCAAGGTCATTTTTCATCAGTTGTTACCAACTGGCAATGGGCACGTGCAGAAATCTGAACTGTGTTTTTTCTCTAGGCAGTTTCCACTTCCAGCATCCACATTGAACCAGTAGGATGTGGGGAATAATAGCTCTAGAAGGCATTGCTTCTTTAGAATGTGTCATCTTGGAAGATACATTATTCAAATGTAGATGCATGCTACATTAAATAATACATGTTTTTAAGCATACAGCTCTTCGGTGTTTGGGTTTTTTCCCTTAAGGTGAAGGAAGTGCATCTTATTTCTTGCCTTCAGATGTTTCTGTGACTCTTCCACAATTTTGAATTACATCATTTAGTCATGGTACCTTTTTTCTTACCCTTCCCCCAGGATGTGAATTGCCTGTAACTCTGCTCTATATCCCTATCCATCATTTTCTCTTATTCCGGTCTTTATCAGACACAGCTTTCTGTAGTGCATGATCAATATAATGCAGTGTGCCTTCTGATGGAAAACATTCTTGTTTTCTTGCTCTTAGGTGAAGGCAAAGCTTAAACTTAGGCCAAGATAACTTACCGTTCGTGTGGTCTGTAACAGTAAATTTTTTTTCAGTCACTTTGAAAACTTACTTTAAATCTGCACCCCAGCTTTTTAGCTGTTACTATTTTTAAGTCACAACAGCATACTAATAATTTAAATTAATTTTGAATGCCACTGCATCTGTGGGCCTGAGCTGAATTTTAAGAATAAACCTAATGCTGTGATCAGTGGCGTGTTTATGCTTTTGCACATGTCTGTGTTGCTTTGAGCTAACACATTTCTGAGGGAGGAATTTGGCCTGTAAGATACGTAGCTGGCAGTGATGAATGAACAAATCTTGACTGAGGTTCTGACTGAGTTTGCTTATAAACTCAGGAAGTGTTGTGTGGGAGTGGCAGACAGTGATGATGCACCAAAAAGCCTTTCTTAACACAGAGGAACACACTTTAACAGCTGCCAGCTGCATTTTTTTGCAGAGAAAGCCCACTGTTCATGTGCTTACCTTGTTTGGGGTTTTTTCACCCACTGGCTTAATGTGGGGAAAAGTAGTATGCATCTAATGCAGTATTTTGCTGATTTGTCAAGAAGAGTATCTGTTAAGCCTAAGAGCACTGTGACCCAGAATGAGTGATGAATAACACAGCCAGTGTGCTGGGAAGACTGTCACCTGTCCGTTTTGTGTTGTTTGGGGTTTTTTTTGCCATGCCCCTCCATCCAGCTGCTCTGGATGGAGAACTCATTGTCTTCAGTGTGTCATGTATGCTAGGCATTGAACAAGGTGAGACGTGAAAACATAAATGTGTGAAGATCTTTGAGAGTAAGCTTAAGAAAATTGATATGTACTTCAGTATTTCTGAACTCGAAATTCAGTCTCTTGAATCTAGATGTGTATGTTGAAGAAGTCACAGTATTTTGCTTGGAATTTTGTCTAGGAACTGTTGTGTGCTACTTGGTTGAGTGTATTGTACAGAGCCAAGTGAAATTCTTTGGTATGGTCTGAGCCCATAGTTCAACTTTTTCATTAATGTTGATCTAGTAGTGCTGGTGTAAGTATCAATTTTTTGTTGTTGTTAATATGGCAATAAGATTTTCCATGTTTTGGGAGATATTCATAAAGGTGAAGGCCTTTATGAGTGAACACCTTTATGCTAAATCAGTGAAAGAAATGGCTCATGCTACAAAATGCTACAAAAAATGCTTGTAAATGCTACAAAAGTAGGTGTGGGAAAGGACTATAATTAGTACACATGCGAACCTTGTTGACCTCTCAAAAGAGGGTGGGATAGACCTACTTATTTTTATGTAAAGGGTGGGTTTTGGTGATTAAATGGTAGATTAGGGCATTGTTTTTATAGGAGCAGGATTGCGCTGCTTGTATTGAAGGTCTCTATTTGATTTCTTCACATTGGAAACTTCTCCCTTCTGGGAAAAAGGGGCGAGGGTGGGACTAAGTAGTTGATTTGCTTTCTGATTAAACAGTATAACACTAAGTCAAATAGTGAGAGTCATATTTGGACTGATGGAAATTCTTGAGCTCTATTCAAACACAAATGCCACTGCTTTCAGATTTGTTTTCATAAGCTGTAGGGAATGTTCTGAATAACATGTTTGTATTTGAGACAGCTTTGCATCTTTCTGGCCCTCTGCAATTACTGTATTAGGTAGTGTGTGGTTTTGACTGCCTTAAGATTGGAGTATACTATCAGGGCAGTGGAGTTGCTTGATGCCTGTACAGTGCCAAGTAGTACTGAGGGCCACAATCGGCATAGGTGGTATTCATAGAACAGAAACTTCTCAGACTTTTATGAAACCCAAAGATTTACAGAGGGAAGGTGGGATCACTCTGTTCTTTGCTTTTGCTTTTTTTTTTTTTTTTTTTTTTTGGTGGGGGGGTTTTGTGGGGTTTTTTAGGAGTCTGGTTTTTTTCAGATATGTAACTCTTGTGGCTTAAGATGGAAAAATGTATGTGTCTAACTAAAACATTTACTCTTTGCTTTTTTGCCGCCTCTGTGAAGAGATTTACTGGAAAAGCAGAACTTTCAGTCATGCCACTGTCAGAGGGAGAACACATTTGAAGAATTAGGAGAGATTAGTGGAAGTGATTTCAAGGTCTAAGGCTGTTATTATAAGCTGTGTAATATGTGCTAAAATATATACTCCAAAGAAATGCTTTCAGTGATGCAGATTTGGAATTTTTTTAATCTATTTGCTATCTGTACAGTTGGACAGCTTTCTCTATTATATAGAAAATGCCTAATAAAAGAATGACCTCTGTAGCTACTCCTAGCGTACATGCTAATAAGTATCCAGTATGTAGAACTATTTCCCAAAATGTTCATTAGAGTATTGTAATTTAAATTCTGATCTGAATGTAGTTTGTCAGTTTTGGAGCATATCTGTGAGCAACAACAAAATGAGTTACCACTTAAGTGCAATCTTTATAAATGCAACAAGCCTTCTTTCATATTCTGACATATGGATAGGTGGCATAGCCAGTAGAAAAATGAAAGCTAAAAGCAGTTCTGCGAAGAAAGCTTAAAGAACATGCTCCCTTCCCTTATTTTATTGTTCCATCTCTGTTCTGTATTTTTTTTTCCCTTGGATAAATGGATAGGTGTATAATCATATTGAGATCCTATAGCAGATCTTTTCTCTGAATGTTAGAAATACCAACTAACTGTTACTATCCAATATTAAATACTTGGTGTCATCATAAATGTGTATATGTATGGTGTCTATATCTGTGTACAAGTAAAGTGTTTTTAGTGAGTTCATTTCTGCTCTTAGATCTTTATAAAGACATTCTGTGACTGCTACATTTCCCCATTGTGTTTTAAATATAGTAAATGCAATTATTATAAGCTGCAATTTGTTTCGTAAGTAGTTAAAACATTCAAATACAGCCAGATTCCTGAAAGACCTCACTATAAAGTTTGGAGGCTACGTTTCTTTGGAATCAAGCTAAAAACCTCTGGGAAGATAAAATCCCTAAAGGAAGATAAGTCAAATACTAAAACACCTCTAAAGGAAAAAAAAAAATTGCGTGTGTAGTCCACGACACATCAATAGACATGACAACAGGTAACAACTCTGTTGGGTGAAACAAATAAATAGGACAGGAAAAAATAAAATAAAATTGAACTAGTGGCAAATGCATTGTAGTCTCCACTGTTAAGAGCTCAGGAAAATTTTTTGCTTATTTTACATTCCTCGTCACCACCATGGTACTTCTGCAAAATAGTGAGGAAGATGAAATGTAAGATAAAACCCAGTAACAACAGTATTAGTGTTTGTATTTTATGTGTTTAATATCTCTTTATTCCTCTCTCTATATATATTTATCTATCTATATATGAGAGAAACAAGTATATTACACTTGTTGTTATATGAGATTATATAATCTTATGTAATTAGATGTTTTTATGTGTGTATATATACACAGAGCACTTGCTTGTACATAAATAGAAAGCATGCCTTTTCAATTCCACTTTTTTTTTGAGATAAGGTAAAAGTAGAGAAATTTTGAAATCGGTAATGAAAATGAGACAAAATCCTCAATTCGACACAAGTTAAGACGACTGAGAAGGTGTTGAGGGACTATAAGAGACAAAAAGAGTGAGGGTGGAGGAATTCCTTTATAGTGTAAGAGCAAGAGGCCTTTAGTTCTGAAAAACAACTGTTTTGAAGTTGATACAAGGGAATTACATTTAGCAGTACATAAACATAACATCTAGAATTTGCTTCTTAGGAGATCCTGAAGTTTAAAAGCTTAGAGGGATTTAAAGTCTTAAGAATTCATATGAATGCCCTTCTTTTGTAAGCCAACTACTTACTTGAGAATAATAAATAGCCTCTGTAGTCTCTCTGCACTAAATTTAGTTGCACATTCTTTGAAATAGCTTGTGCTATTCACTGTCAAATATCTGGACTAGATGTCATTGAAGAGGCAATTTCATTAATCTGAAATGAATGTTGCTGGATTTTGGCTTCATGCAAAACTGTTTTTATACTCAGAATACCTAATTTTTTGAGAAGTCATAGACATTTAAAATACTATTTGGGATAGTTTATAGGTGGTTATGGATTATGTGCTTTGACTAAAAGTAAAAGCAGATTGAAAATATTTAGCAGATTTCTACTTATGCTCTTGGTTGTGCTTATTGAGCAGCTACACTAATTGTATATCTATATCATATTGTGTGTAGAAATAATCATTCCAGTGCTCTTGTAAGCTATTAATGTGTAAGATCTTGTGTTCATACAGAAAACTGTTTTGTACCAACCTCTGAGATCATTGCTGTAGAAGAAACTGAATTTAACAAGAAACAGCGTAATATTGGCAAATGGCAAAAAATGGCAAAGCCACATGCTTTCACAGGTAAGGCAAATACAGTGTCAGGATACTCGTGCTAAGTACTTTGTTGGAGCTACTTTAGGGCAGACTCAAAAGGAATCTTCAGAATTTTTTTTACCAGAAATGATGTGTTGAAAAAACCAAGCCCCACCCCCTGCCCCAAAAAACCCAACCAGTAAACCACCAACCAAAAAAACCACAAAACCAAACAGACCAACCCCCACCAAAAAACTGCCAGTTTACATTTAAAGATCTTTATTTTGGAATCACAGAATGGTTTGGGTTGGAAGGGACCTTAAGGTCATATAGTTCCAGCCCTGCTGCCATGGGCAGGGACACCTTCCACTGGACCAGGTTGCTCCAACCTGGCCTTGAACAATTCCAGGGATGGGGCATCCACAGCCTCTCTGGGCAACCTGTGCCAGCGCCTCACCAGCCTCACAGTAAAGAACTTCTTCCTTGCATCTAACCCCAAATCCATCCTCTTTCAGTTTAAAACTGTTACCCCTTGTCCTATCACTATAGGCCCTTGTAAAAAGTCCCTCTCCAGCTTTCTTGTAGGTCCCCTTTAGGTACTGGAAGGCTGCTAGAAGGTCTGCCTGGAGCCTTCTCTTCTCCAGGCTGAACAACCCCAACTCTCTCAGCCTGTCTTCATAGGAGAGGTGCTCCAGCCCTCTGATCATCTTTGTGGCCCTCCTCTGGACTCGCTCCAACAGGTGCTTGTCCTTGGAAAATAAAGCCGTACCTTTAAGAACACGTGCTGTGTTTAGTTATTTAATGAAGGAAGTCCTAACTAATGTCTTATGTTTCTGCTGCTGAATGACTCTGCAGCAGGACACTTGCTTTCTACTACTTGACAGAAAATTGAGAGAGGCTGGAAAAATGAGACCTAAATGTTTGGGGATTTTAAAATTATCCCTAACCATCAGATTGCAATAGTATGCATGTAAAGGTTCTTTGTATTATTGACTGTATTCTTAAAACAAAGTGCTAGAAATAAATTTCTGTTTGTTTTGGGGAAAGAGTGGTGAATTCTGTGCTGCAAAGCTGGGGCAAATGTGATTGCTCCCATGCCAAAACTTTATATTGCAGAGTACTTTCCTCACATTTAGTCATTCAGTAACAATGATTGGTGATACTTTAGATGGAAAGGTAAGGGTGCTTCCTGTCTCACCAGCCTAGTTCTTAATGCACAAGAAAACTCTAAATCTTTTTTCTCAAATTTCAGCTTTATGAAATTAAATTCACCCTGTTGGTTACATGGGAGCTGATGTGAGAGTTTGGCTTATCCTATTAAGTTTATGGCATTTTATATTATTTAGACGTTGCAGACTTCCATATGTATAAAATAATATATAAGCTCAGTGAACTTTTCTATGTCTATAATCAGTTTATGGAAAATGAATTGTATTTGGTTTAAAAAGAAGTTTATGTTTTGGTATCTGCTATAAGGTAATTGCCTAGAGCAAGTGTTTTCTTTTATGTTTTTTTTTGACTTTTTACAAATGTCCTATTCACACTCTGAAATCTGTCATTTGCAGAAATGTGTAGTGGGGGTTAATTACCACTTTTTTCCAAAGGCAGATATTTTGGAGATTTCTCTAAACTGCATTTGTCATTTCACAGAACTGTCTCATTGTGCCTCTTCTTTTTTCTTCTTTTTTTTTTTTTTTTAATTTAAATAGTTTATTACGTGAAGAAAGCTCGAAATCACCGCTGGCGGTGCAGTGATGTGACGTTTTGGTGTGTTGATGAGCACTTGTGTAATCAGTGGATACAGGCGCTGAAAGAATTACTTGAAATGCAGAGTAAGTTTGACTAAACTACTAACATTTGCAGCATCATTTTACAGGCCTGTGTATCAGTTAATACTATTTCAATATATCTGCTTTTATGAACTCTTAAGAGCAGCTTATGCTTAAAAGCTGAGGGAGCTGAGAGATGAAGTGTCTCATTCTTCTTATCGCTAGTTTTGTGTCTCACTTGCTAAATTTTAGTGAGTGTTTTACTCTAATCAGTCAGGACTGTAGGTGTCTTATAATTTTGCCCAGATGTAAATTATTTTCATAAAATAGGGACACTAATTAGAAGCTTACCAGAGGCTTTAAATGACTGTAGCTTTGGAGAAAGTAAAGGGCAGATGTAAGCTCAGAGATTTGATCTCCTCTAGAGATCTAAGAACAAGAATTGTAGCAATTGTAAGATTTATGGGTGGCTTTTTGTGTGTCTGTCTCGCCTTTCCAGTCTCTCTCATCAACGATGTGCCTTATGTAGTAAGAGTTCCCATTAATCATTTCTGGGACTCTTGGACATCTACTTCTTGGAAGGCTAAAAGTAGTTTTGCAGGAGTTATTCTTGAGATACCTTGATAGATGTCAGGGAGTGGCAGGAGCAGAGCAACTCTATGACAAAAGGGAGGTCAAGGATGACCATAACACAAGGCAGTGCCCTCACTGATGAGGCTGCAGTCCCACTGTATCTGGGCAGGGTGGGCAGAGCAGGGATGGGGCTCCTGAGCCAGGCAGGAGCAGCAGGAGCTGGAGCTGGAGGCAGGACTGGAGATGAACTATCTACAGCCAAGGTCTGAGGTCCATCTGAGACAGCCCCAGAAAAGGGACTGGATGGAAGTCCACCAACAATGTGACTTAAGCAAGTACTTACGGCTCACAGAATAAAAACGGATATTTAACAAAATGTGTTCTTCTGAACAGCAGGCATTGGAAGCATGCATCTTACTAATGTTTTTGTTTTGTATACATTACATGAAGTATCTGGCTTCCAATAAAATATTTCAAAAAATGGGGTTTGTGCACCCACTCAGTACACTTGTGACAGATGTGGACTGGGCAGTCATCTCTGGGTGCAGGTGTTCATTCTATTGGTAACAAACTATTTCTGAAAAGGTAACAGGTTCTCAGAGAGCGTGAATGGCACTTTAGGTGTGTGGCAGCTTTAAACCATTCAAACAGTTAGCTTGGGTGCATTTATTATGCAAGTGTGCTGATCTAATAACTGTTTATTCTTTCCTTTTAAAATAATAATTTAGAATGCCATCTGAGGAAGTGCAAATGTTACAACAGGTCTTTGTGTCCTATACAAAAAAGGAAGGCTTTCTAGGTGCAGCAAGCATTAGTGTTTTGTGTATCTGTTAGTACAGAGGTGTAGTAATTGTTTTCATTGCCACCACCAATGTAAATACATAACTATTTGAATAAACTTGATGTAGTAATATCAATGGTGTTTTCTGGGGGGAGGAGGTTACACTATAGGGCAAGCACTTGCTGTGCAGCATGTAGTTTTGTGAGGTATTCTTATTGTGTCCTTATCACAGAAAGGAAATGCATTTTAACTATGTTACCATAGCAAGAACGGTATTTAAGTAAATTAACGTAAAAGTATTTCTATGTATACTTCACTCACAAGTGCCTTTCCTATTGCTGCCCTTGGTTTGTCTTTTGTCTTGTATGCCTGTGATACTAATGTAATTTAGTGGGAACATACTGCAAGAATAATACGCATAAGAATGTGAGACATGGAGTCAGATGAAATGACGCTGAATTTCACCTGCTGTCTTACTACTGATTTGTTCAATACTGTTGGTATCCTCAGTATAATAAAGAGGATAAATGAAGCAGGTTTATATAGCTCTTTGATAAAGAGTTATAGAGTTATAAGAGTTAATAAAGAGTTAGAAAAGGCTTGTATGCTGTGTTCACTTTGATGTTTACAGGTTTATTTTTGTTGAATTTTTGTTTTGTGTACAAAAGCAGTATACTATAATGTTTTTCCTTACTGCAGAGTCTAGACCAAAGCAGTTGCTTGTGTATATTAATCCATATGGAGGAAGGCGACAAGGGAAGAGGATTTATGAACAGAAAGTTGCTCCACTCTTCAGTCTGGCTTCTATCTCCACTGATGTTGTTAGTGAGTAATGAATGTTTTAATTTCTTAATAAACACAATATGAACTCTTTCAAACATTTCTGAGTACCTTAAGTTCTTTCTTACCTTTTCTTAATAAGGAAATGAAATGAAGTAGTAGAGAGGGAATGTTTTCTAAATAAAGCATAGGTAGCCAGATAGATGGTGACCTTACATCAATTTTCTGCTTACTAAACTAAAATCTCTGGTACTTTTGAGCTCTTTGAGCTCTTCATTTATAAGATACTGCCTTTCTTCTCTTTTTCAGTTTTACTCTTAAAACCAATTGTTCATTTGCAAAATTTTTTAGTGACATATTTTTCCATATACACTGCGTTGCATGTCTCCTTCAATTCTTCCCTTGGCATAAAATCTTTTGAAACACATTTTATGGGCAGGCTGTTTTATGGTCACATTGGTAATAGAATCATGGTTATTAATGAATTAATAATAATATTTTTACAATTGTATGTTATACACCATTTTATAATAGTATTTTTATAATAGTAATTTTTAATATGTTTATTTCTTCATAGTAACTGAACATGCTAACCATGCTAAGGACAATTTATTTGAAGTTAATATTAATAAATATGATGGGTAAGTAACTTCACTTCCCTTTTTTTTTTTTCTCCCCAAGCTGATACATTGTGTAATCTGTCTGTTCTTGTCTCTAAAATAGTAGCCTTCATTGCCTATGTTTATTGCAACAGCTGAAAGTTCAGGGGCATATTCCTTTCCATAGGAGATCCACATTTAGGAGTATCAAAGGAAAACTAAACTGTTTCAGTAAACCTCTTCAACACACAATGTATTCAAGTGTAGTATAACAACGTATGCATGAGATTTGTGTTCAAAAGCAGAATGTAAGGTTAATTCTGCTTGTCCAGAAGTTGAGCATTCTGTGATAGCTCGGAAGCTACCTTGAAGTCTTTTGTGGTATAGGTAATCTTGACTTATACATGAGTCCAAAACACTGCATCAGTAGTATTCAGCCTGTGTGTAAAAACCACGAAATGTTTAGAAACATTTCAGATAGCTCCTCTTGCTAGGTAGGATTGTTCAAATAATGGCTGCATCATCTGGGTTTATTTGTGTTTGTTCTGTTGTGGAATTACTGTTTCAAAAGATGGCCTGAATGGTGAAATTGCTATTCCATTGTTAAATCTGCTGTAGAAGCAGAGTATTTTAATAAATAAGCTAGTCATTCCAGTTTCCGGTTCATGACATGAAACAAGTTACATGACTGGAAAATCATGAAAATATATGCAGAACCTATGCAGATAAACTCTCATAACTACAGTATTTTAAAATAGTATCTTGTTGTGCTTGTTGACATGTACATTTGGACTGGTAAGTTGCAAAAATAAAACACTTTCTATCTTTTCAGAATACTTTTGCTAGGAGAGCAGCTCTATGTGCATTGTATAAATCGAGTGAGGGTGTGATGTTGACAAATAGTGGTAGTAAGAAACTACATTCACAGGTTGAGTTCCTGGACTTCACCTGCTTTAAAATGAGTTGACTTTAAGCCATTTGACTATACTGGAATTTTTCTTAATTATGCAGAATTGCAAGGAAGGGAAACCAGCATCTTAGAAAAACCTAGTTAGTTAAGATTTTTCCTTTTATTTGACTTAAGTGATTTGAAATAGATAATACTGATGGTTGGTGAAATTGTAATACAGAACAGAAAAGGGAAGCAAGTGAGCCCATGTCCACTCCTAGCAAATTGGTTTTTACAACAAGTGACAGTGACCAATTGTAGTGGTACCTGAAGTGTTTTTGACAGATTCAAACAGTCTCTTATTGAAGAATCTTTTTTTTTTCTGTGGTGGCATTTTTTTGTTTTCTCTCTCTAACATGACTGAGCTAAAAAATAAGCTAGAGAACTGCATCTTTTTAGAATCTCATGATTCTTCTATTCCCAGGCCAGTCCTTAGTGGCAGTTAGCTTGGGAACTGCAACCTGTCTTTCCAAGCCTGATTTTTGTCCATCACGTACAAGTCTGTTTCTGTGGTGAACAGTGATGTTAGAAAGGAGTTCTTGTATTAATACTGCTTCTCAAATAACAGATCATGTGCTTATATGGAAGATTTTAACAATGGTTGCACCACATAAATGCATGTGTTTCTTCAAGTTTGATTGACTCTTCTCACATACAGGATAAGCTTCTTTGGATTCCTACAACTAATTGTTGTTCACCTGTCCTCTTAGATGGGTTCTGATAAATGGCTTTCCCTTCATTCAGTGATGAGCTTCTTCATTTAATCTCCAGATTCCCTTTTCCCTATAGGCAAAGCCATGCCTGTAATTTTGGAACTAGATACAGGATTCTTAATGATAACCACTTCACTGCTTTCCAAGTGTATTTACTTAAGACAGCTTATTTAAACCTCTTGTCTGTGTTGCCTGTTTGTTCTTCCCACTTTCCCTTACAAGAATTTCTTATGGTGAGTCTACTTATCTAGTAGCTCAGTGTCAGAACAGCTTCTCTTTAAAGACAGTTACTTAAAATATTCATTCAGTTACAATGTAGCAGGTTTTTGTACATCACTGTGCAGAACAACTAGAGCATGCTGTAATACTGTGCAGGTAATGACCATGTTTTGAGTAAGTCTGACATGTATGAATCGCTGTGCTTCCTTACCCATATGCCTGTTGCACAAGCCTTTGTAAAACTGCTTCAGGTTGTTTTTTTCCTAGTTCTTGAATTAGTTCACAGAATGGTTGAAATTTAAAAGAACTACGGTCCCTTCTAAACATTTGTCTTGTAGACTTGGTTGTCCTGAAGTCCTTTAGCATATGTAGTTTACCGTTGTCATCTGTCTAAAAAGTGAAATGCTAGTCCATTAGAAAAATAAACCCCAAAAGTAAGAATTTACTCTAAGATCTCCCTTACAGTAGTTCTTCACTAGGGGCCTTCACACAGGTGATTCGCACACATCTGTGACTCGCACGTTTCATGTGACGTTTGCAATGAATTTGGTCATGCTAATACTGTGTATGTGAACTTCTTTATCTATCAATATTTACCCTTGATAGGTATAGACATTCATATTACTCATCTCTGAGCCTGGATATGGTACTGTTATAAAAAGACTACTGAGACAACATTGGCCTTGAACTGACATGGAAATTTTTGTCCACTTAACCTCTTTCTTAGAGTCTGCAGAGAAAGATGAGATGGGCTACAGTAGAGGTATAATGTAGTTAAGCTGTAAGAGAAATTAATTACAAAAATGAAAAACAAACATCCTTTTCTCCCTTCTCTCCCAGTCTCTAGGGTCTTGACTTAGAGTTGGACAGCGTATATTTTTAAGACTGTCCTCTCCATTCATGAAAAATTGACTGGGTTTTTTCAAGCTCTCCTTCTGCTGACAATACAATAATAAGTAAATTTAAATCATCAGTACTTAAAATTTAAATAAACTAACTTGTCCTTTGAAATAAGTGCTCACTCTGCAATACTTGTTGCTGACTATGTGGAAGAGTAAGTATTAGTTTATACATTGGAAATGATTGCTGTAGATAACAATAAACATTCCTAAATATGTATGCTGGGGACTACGTGCATAACTTTGGATTCATCATGTGTCCCTTTAAAGTGTATTTGAATTAGTTTTTCAGTTGAAGAATGTTTTTTAGAGTTCAGGGTGTGCATTTGATTGTTGTGCATGAAATGTATACTACTGTAAAATAGTCTTTTACTTCCTAGTATTTGCTTGGCTGTGGACTCTCTGCTGAGCTTTAACATATTGAGGATCTGTGTAGCTGCTGCACCAGCTCTGACCTGAATTAAGTTTGCAAAACAAAGTTTTGCATCTGGTAACATTTAGAACTGTTTCATTATGAATGGTTATGTAGATATACATGACTTTTGTCTGTTTGATGGGCTCTCAGCATGTTCAAAAGAGCATGCAAGCATGCACTTTTCTGTGTTTTGACTTTCATATGATGTATATCCCTGTTAAATCAATAGTGTAAAATATACTTCTGCCTGAAGCCACAAATATTAACTTACTTTTCCCTTTTTAGTAAAGGTACCCTAGTTCCATTTTGTTTACTTGGAAAGCTGTATGTACAGTCCTGTTCATTGTTTTCCTTGTATAGTGAATTTCCACTGATATTTGTCTGTCTGCACACAGCAATACAGATAAAGTTTTTTTTTAGGTTGCATTCCAACATTTTTTTTCTAACATTACAGATATGTCTAGGTGTATTCGCAGTTGTGTAGCTTGAATTTTTTTTCCTGCTTTTTGTTAATTGCCAAGTTGACTGTGGCCTACCGTATTCTGTAAAAATGGAGAAGGAGAATAGAACAACTATTTTTGATGTGCCCAGTGCATGCCCTAAGTAGAACACTTGCCGTGTTGTTTATTGACTGTTAGTGTGCATTCTAATTTGTGTTTCCTGGCAGTGTTGTTTGTGTTGGTGGGGACGGCATGTTCAGTGAAGTGATGCATGGTCTCATTGGAAGAATGCAGAAGGACTCTGGCATAGACCAAAATAATCCCAAAGCACCGTTAGTCCAGTGCAATATAAGGATTGGCATAATTCCTGCTGGTAAGAAAGGGTTAACTTTCAGTTTACTTTATTCATTCTTGAAATTCCTTCTTATTCATAACTTCTTGAATTTAGGCCTAAGTGCAATATATGAGCAATGACATTCTGTAAAGACACCTAAAGCTGTTTTTATCCCAGATCATTCATCACATGCACTTTTATGTGGAAGGGTACTTTGTAAAGGAAATCAAATCTTAATGTGCAACTTTAGAATTTAATTACTTTCTTTCGTGGCTTATTGTGTGTTAATACAAGATAAGATGTTGACAGTAATACCTTTGCCCATCTGAACACATTAATGAGTGAAATTTACTGAACAGAGACTTACCTGATAAATATTTTTCCACTTCCAAATGTAATGAGAGGCTCCCACTGGTCTGGCAAACTCCAAACAAAAGCTGAGCTTTCTTCTCCCCCGCCCCCCCCAGCTGTCATCACAGAAAGCATAAGGCAAATACTGGTGAGGAACAGTCCTCAGGTTCCAGACCAAGTTGCAGTTTCTGCCCCTTTTTTAGAGGTGCTATATTTTCCCAGTTCTCAGTGTCAGCCACCTTTTCAGGCAATCCTGACTACTGTCATAGAGGCATTTGAGAGAATTCATGCTTGGAATTCAGGTTTTTGGTGATAAACTTACTTTTTTTATTGGCCATAGGCACTCTTTGGGTCTAGTGTCCCAGGTTTTACCTCAACCTGCCCAATTGGTCCCCAAGATTTCTTCAAAAGTGGACTTACAAGATGACTCTCTCTTCCAGGACTGGATTCAGTGTTGCAACACTTTAATAGCATCTGCAATTTCGAGGACTCTGGAAAGACAAATTGACAGTTCAGTGGCTTTTCTATGCTGTTCTTTTTTTCTTGCCAGATGCTTGAGATTTGAATTAAAGAAGTGGGATATGAAATAAACATTATGAGCTTCTGACTAGAACTAAGACACAGACTTTATGAGAAAATTTAGCACAGGTTGTAAAAATACATCAAGTGATATATTTGTACCCTCAGACTTTAGGTGACTAATTTTATACTCGTTATATCTTTGTGAAGAACGTATCCAACCCCAAATGGTCTGAATTGTTGGTTGGATGAAGCTTAACCCTTTCTGCTTGCAGTACAATAAGGGTTAGATATCTGAAAGTTGCAATGTGAATATCCCCTTATGGTTTTTCATTCTCCTTGTTACCTAGCACATTAAGGGTTCTGTATAACAGAATTACTATTTATAAGTATATTCTGATTTTATTTGTTAAAGCTTTGTATTAAAGTCAGTTTGTATAGTAAACTTAACAAGAATAGGATTTGAAGTGCTCTACCCTTCATTTCCCTTATTTGGGCAAATTTTGTGGACTAAAGGTTTTTGCTTACATAGTTGGTTTCAGCCAGAAGATTTTGCCTGGTGATGTTAGTGACTGTAAGAAGATACAATTGAAAAAAACAGAATCTCAATATTAAGAGCTATTTCTTTGTCCTTAATTAAAAGTAATTAACTATAAGCATGTTAAAATTGGAAGATGAACCTTGCTTTTTCAACAATTTTTTAATGCATTTGTTCCAATTGCAACCAAAAAGTATGATCTTCACTGATATTTCAGTATTGCTAATGTGTATCAAGTCACTTTCTTCTCTTACTTTAATGTTTTGTTTGTTGTGTTTTTTCCATTGTAGCTGTTTGCTATTTGAATATGTACTGCATGCTCTAGTCCTTGAACTAACATGGGGTACAGCGTTGTAATCAGTGCTATGATTCAAATATTTTCTCCAAGTCATTATTTAGATCCCTCAAAAATTATTTATGATGGTGTATAAGGAAGCTGACCTTGCAGTTTCTATTAATCAAGTTTCTGGAAGTACAGAGGATAATACATATCTTGATCCATTTGTATATTGTACAATATTTAAAGTGATCCATTGCTGAAAATATGGGAAGGTGCTTGTTTACTGAAAAAGGGAATCAAATCACTGAACAAATCTTAACCCTTTCTTAATACATTTAGCCATCAGAGGGACCTTAAATTGTCTATGAAATAGCCAAACCCATGCATTGCAGGGTGATCAGGAAGGCAGCAAGAGTGGTTTGTTTATTTTTTTCCAGCCCTTGGTGAAGCAGTTCTCTGTTCATCTTTGTAATGGAGCTCTGACCATGTATTGACCCCAACAGTTTCCCTAGTTCACAGACTAGTGCAAGAAGTCTGTTCCAAAGTAAGTGAGATCCTTAAAAAGACTTTTTTTAAACTAAACTGACAGCCCTAAAATAAAGCAAGTCAAGAGGAATAATGAAATATAAATCATGCATCTAGAAAAACTTCACCCATGGTGCTCCTTTAAGTTCTTTATAACCAACCTTTTTCTTAATCCTAAGGACTCATTAATGGATATTGAAAACAAACACTACCCGTAGTTTAGAGATTAAGTTCTAAAGCTCTGTGTGTCTTCTGATACATGGAGACAGTTTGCTCAGTGAGGACAGGAGCTTGGGGTAGGGTGATGCTGAATCAGTGTTTTTGCCTTTTAGATCATTTAGTTCCTAATGTCAATCTGTGTTAACAGAAACATGGCAGATTGTGGTTTGTGGTTATGATTGAAGAGTGTCTGTCTGTATTTAACGCTCAATTCAGCACACTTAATCTTTGCTCAGAAACTGTTGATTTAATTATACAAGGTTTGAAATTACAAATGAAAGAGATACTAAATGCTAAAACACTCTCATCTGTATGACCATTTTTGAGTAATTAGCGTTATTTCATAGGCAGAATCCCATTGTGCAGACTCTTTTTAATGTTGGATATTACTTGTAAATCACGATTCTAACTTTCTGGAGAAAGCCCCTGCTTGCCCCCCCCTCTTTTTTTTTTTTTTAACAGGTGTGTCTGTTTCCAGACAGTCTCTTTCCTTAGTGTGTCTTCTGGTTAAAAAATACCATTTATTCTTATGCTTTATGGTACACTTTTATGAAATAACTTGTGTTTTTATTGACATGAATAAAGTCTTCTACTTGAATGGCAGTTTTAATTTCTGAATTTCTCTTAGCTGCAGCCATTCTTCAAATCTGCCAGTGTAAATTGACTGCTGTTGTAAACAGATTTGCTGTTAAGGTACTTAGAGGTTGTAGCAACCTGACAAATTTTTGCACTGCGATGTGGTAACTACAAGTCAGTGTGCCTACAAAAACTTCAGTTTAGTTATCGCTTCCTCCTAGTGCCATCTAGCCTTAAAAGCACATTCAAGCCATGGTTTCTCACTGCATTCAGAGTGGTAGTATGCCTCTGTAGAACTTAAAAACCAAGAATCATTTCTCTTACAACATGTGGCACTGAGGTTTCATCCACATGTTTTACTATTAAAATTATACTCTCTGGAGTAAGCTAAAGTAATTCATTCTTCTTGCTAAGCCTGGCATAGAATAGGAGGACAAACCTGTCAACTGCTGTTGGAGGACTTTTACTCACTCTGTGCTGTGGCATAATATTAATGCATTAATTCTTCCAAAACCCAAGTCTGCCAGCTTACACTGGGGATAGGGGAAAAATCTTCCAAGCACCAGGGAAGATTGAGTGAAGTGTAGATACAAAGTGTTAATTGCTATAGTGATTTCTGGATTCTAGTGTATCCAGATCCCTCTCACTTTTGAACACTATAATGTCTAGGATTGAAGCATGCAGTATGATTATAATCAGCATGTTCATGTGTAGCTGTAGAAGTTAAGAATGCTAAAGACAGTGCAGGCTTCTTATGTGAAGGCAGTATAGGAAAATGGTGGAGGATTCATTCACGAACTGAAAAACCAGATGCAAGAAAAATCATGAAGTGTGACTGGACTTTTATACTACTGTCATCTGGCCTATAAAATTTATCTTCAAAAATGCGTTAAAGCATAGCATAAAAAGCTATCTAATTCTTTTTTTTTTAAATTAATCCAACTGATGTGTCCACAGCCTTCTCTTTTACAATGTTTCTAATATTTAATGATCTTTGTGGTTTAATTAGCATCTCATTTCAAGGTTCAGTATGTCCAGTTTGAAATCTGAAGTGCAGTGTTTTGTGTTCCTTCTTCAGCATTTTGAATCCATTATACTTCTGGAAATGACAGTCTTAGAGCTAAATACTGCTTTTAATACAGTGGGGCTGCTATGAGGACAACTAAGTCAAGATTACTTTTCACTGTGCTGTTAATTTAATCTCTTAAATTTGCCATTATTGTATTAATCCATTTTTGTTGTACTGTGGTACTGAACTTCTGCTGAAGTGATTATCTACCAAAAAAAAAGAGACCAAAGTCCTTCCGAACTGTTCTTTTTTAAGCCAGCCTGTCATTCTGCAGATGTTAAACTTGATTTCTTGGTTTCTGGATGCAGGAAGGAAGGTGTATAAAACTTCTGAGTAGGAACATGACTGTATGCCCAGGCCATTCATTGCTCCCTGTAACAGTAGCTTCTCCGCTTACTTTTGAATGTGTCAGATCTTTATCATTTGAAAATCACTTCCCAGAAAAGTCACTATCTAGATATGAAAAATACTAAATGCTGCTTGACCAAGCGTATGCAGTTACTCTGTCTTTAGCATGACTCACCTGATATTTCATCTGTGAGGTGACTGCATGGATTGTGACTTCACAAAAATACTGCAAACATATGGGACCCCCACTGAAGTTGTTGTTCTGCCTGTTTGCAGTACAGAATCCTGTTGCCATACTAATTTGTCTCTGAGGATTCTGCGTGTGCTGTGGAAGCACCTGCCCCTGTCAAGGGTATCTCACATGGAGCAATGCTCATAAGCACTAAAAGTATTTCTGTGTTTTTATTAAATTCACTCTTGTCTATAGGATCCACATCTTGCTGACTATTGCTTCTGTCATCTGCTTAGTTTAGTACTTCCAGTTCTTTGGAATTTCTTTAGTTTTCCATCAATAAAAGCACAAAAATGAGTATTTATAGCCCACAGCATGCTTGTGTTTTGGTTTAAGAAAACTTAGTTGTAAGTAATCTAATAATTTTTCAGATTATTAATTCTGGCACTTAGGTTTTTTGGTGGTTTTTGGGGGGCCACAGAATCAATAGCGTGAACCATTCTGTACAACCAGTAAATCATCTGGTTTTGCTTACCGCTTTGATGGTTCTGTGACCAGCTTAAAGCTTATGAGGTAGTGTCTGAGCACCTGTCTGCATGACTTCACTGCTCACAAATACCTGGCAATATCTGCATGCCAAGGGGAAATCTGGTGATTTAGCTGTACTGTATTCTATGTAGTGCAGTCCATCACTTTGGTTTCTTTAATCTTGCTTTAACAAAAACGTTTTATGGGAACTACATACTCTTTAATATTTTAAATATGTATCTTGGTCATTTCTCCCTGTGATTGATTAAAAAGAAGGATTTCCTTGATAATTTTTAGATCATTAAATTTATTTATTTAAAAAATTACAGTGTTTAAACTTGGGGAGGGAAAGAATGTAGAAGAACTTGCCTATATAAGAACTGTGTGGCTGTATGATACCTCCTAATAACAAACAGACTTTGGGGAAAATGGATAATGAAACAGGGCTCTAGTTTACATAAAGTATGCTAAAGACTCAAAGTAATTATACTTAAACAAAGACTAGTTGATGTGCCCTCTTCTGCATGCTTTGTATTTTCAGTAGGCTCTTAATGTCAGAATATCTGGGATGAGAGCTTTCTTTAGTTGGGAGACTTCAGACATTTAGTTCGGGATTCAGCTATCTTCATATGGTGGTATGGCGTCACCATCGTTGAAATGTACTAGCCCTATGCAAGACAACTACTGTACTAGAGTAGCAGTTTGAAGCCAAGCAGAGTAATCTCCAGTACTTCAATAGTGGTGGTTGGTGTCATTTTAGGTAACGGAGTTATTCTCCTTAGGGTGAGTTTCAATTTGAAATTGATACTCAAGTTTTCATACTTACATTTAGGCGTCTGTAGGTGAGATGGGCGTCTAAACTCATCGTATAGCCAGGGGGGATCTGGTCAATATGGTCAGTAGAGCCTGTAGATCTTGTGTTGCATCTGCCTGTCTTAGGAAACAAGACACCTGCACAAGGCCCTTCAAATGGGGCCTGTGCGTGAATACCTTGAATCAAGCTCAAGCTGCCATCAGCGTTCCTGATGAGATCTCCTTGACCAGAGTGGAAGCTTTGGCATAGTCTGCAGTGTTACATGTACACATATAGCTACTTCTAAGTGTCTTAACCTGAAACTTAATCATTCTCTTGCATGCCAATTTTCTTTTCTTCTAGCACACTAATACAAAAATTAGTTTCCACACTGAAGATCTTTCTTTTTTAATGAATTAGGGCTCAGTTAACAAGCAGTCCAACTACTTTCTTCACATGTGCATGTAGTTCTATGCAACCCATAAAAAACCCTTTTATTTTCCTTCACTCACTTAGACTGTTGCCCTTAAAAATCCCCAAAGAAAATCTGGCAGACTATGCGTATGATTTTTCTGTTGGTATAACCAGAACAAACAACATCCACCACCTAACACTAGTCAAGGATCATGCTCTATGAAAGCTTCTTGCCCAAATGGAGTGCTCTGGCAATCCTAAACTATTAATCAAGGAGTATTAGTCAAACTATATTTATATTCTACTCCTGCTTTCCATATCAGATTTATACTGATAACATAAGCCAGATTTTGGTGGGGTTTGCATGTGCATCTACTCATAGTGCTGCTTCAGCAGTAGTAGAGTCCAAATCTATTCAAGACGCACCTAATGGTCTAGAATTCCTGTTTGATTATGAAGTATTCAAAGAGATTCAAATCCTTAGTCATCATGAATATTTTTGTGACCTTTAAACTAGTACTGTTAGGTTCATGCTTGGTGTGGTGTTATGACCAGTTATATTCTATTGGAACGTATGTAAGGAATGATACTGGGTTTGTGGCTCCATACTACCGGCTCTGAGAGGAAAAAACCAACAATATTTTACTGTTTGTAGTTGGTACTCCTGGCATGTCTGAGAAAGAGGGATGATTTGGCAGTTGGGGAAGATATCAACAGTGTTTGCCAGTCTCCCATTTTAGAATCTCAGAATTAATGTCAGACTTGAGATCTAATTTTAGCCCTCTCTTGCTAGATAATGAATAGAAATGAAAATAAGTTCTATAAAATTGCCCAACAGATAAATCAGCTTTTAATTGACTACAGAAGAGTATAGCGAGATAAGCCTCTGGTGTTAAAATGTAGCTTGCATGAATTCCCCTCTTCTCTTCCCACCTATAGCGTAAGACTGCTTGAAAGCTCTGTTTACATCAAGACAAATGTGACTAAGGTAATTCTAATAGCAGAATGCAAATGGATCTTGAAGAAATGAGAAAGGTTGGATGAAATGTTAGGCTTGTACACTCAGCAGTAGAAGTTTAGGTCAGATCTTTTAGTGGCTGTTTTTGTGTCTGTTTATTTTTCTTTTTAAAAGTAGTGAGACTTTTCTTTTCTGCCTAACTAAAATTCATGAGTGTAGGAGGCAAAATGAAACTGAAAAATTGGCAGTAAAGCATAGCTTCAGTATCTGAACTCTCCTTAATGTTTTCTGCTATAAAACTCCAAATGCAGCATGATAACTTCATCTGTGTACCTTGTCTGTTATGATACTGAGAGAAATTGGAGTCCTATTTCCTGTGCAACAGCACATACTTGTAATGGTACGCTTGCACCATCTTGAACCTCAGCCTTGTAGAGAGAGATCTCTTTAGTCACACTGTTTCTTTTGTTCTGCAGTTCTGTTGTATTCTCTTAAATTGGCTCCTGGAGCTGCTTCTTGTTCCCTGTGGCAGGCTTCTGCATAGTGTTTACTTGATAGAAGCTTCACTTATGCCCTTCGCTGGTAGGGAAAGTGGTGACCATTTCCTGAGAATTAAGTTGGGAGGGAAAGGATTATCTTTGCTCTTATTGATAACTGTATGTCCCCTGACAGTTTTCAAAGTGAGAAAGAACCAAAAGCAGATTTTAAATAGTGATTGCTCATTCCTCTATTTTTAGTTTTCCATTTCAATTTGATTAGGCCTGAGAAGTTAAGTACTCAGTATCTGAGCTGCTCTACATCTAGTGTATCAGTAGCAAATCTGAGAACATATATGTGGACAAAGTAAGTTTTTGTTTTCAGATATCCAGCCTTGACTTTAAAGGAATTCGATTTCAGGGAACGGATGGGAGAAACTACAAGATAAATTTGGAGTTAAATGCTGCAACAAAAATGCTTTGGTATGTCTGGCCCTGACTTTCAAGTCCCTGCTGCAGAGCAGGATTCAGAATCCTACATTAGGCTCTTAGATTGTTTTTTACAGGGGTCAGGGAGGATTGCCTGTCTCTAAAAAGCACCTAAAATAGAGTGGATGTACTGAGTGAGGAGTGGCCTGGAGGTAGTTAGTAACAAAGACAGAATATCGGTGAAACCTAAAGTTTCCCCCCTTTCTTCTTGTAGGTATTTTGCTCAAGACTGTAAAGGCACATCTCTGTTCACTTTGCTCCCCTATCTGTAAAGTAATTCTTGAAAGCAAGTGCTTACTAATTTTCAAATAATAGAACTAAGTAGTAGTTTCTGGTTTAAGATGCAGCTGGAGGAGGATGGGATGTTGACAGTCTGGAATTTAGATCACTCCCCAAAAAACCAGGAGACCGGTCAACTTCTTTTCATGAGATCTCGATGAGTAAGAAATCTTAAGCAAAGGAGAATCAGCATATGCCTTCCTTCCCCTCCATCCTTAATTGATATAAAAGCTGTAATGTAATCCTGAAATTTTTCATATGAATTAACTTATTTCCCTTCACAAACTGCTATATATTTATTGCTTATATAGTGAAAATCTTTGTACTTTGTACGGAGAGAAATAAATTCTACTGGGGGGGATTTACAATTTAAATCATAATATTTGTATCCTTATAGATACTTTGTTCCATAAAATAGAAAGGGGCAGGCCAAAGGAACATAATGCTTTTATTTGGAGGACCATGCCAATAATACTTGTTTTGAAAAAATATGAATTAATATCTAGGTTTTTATTTTTCAGGATCAACAGATTGCATATGCTATTCAACTGTTGGCATTATTGATCCAGTAACATCAGCTCTCCATATTATTGTAGGTGGGTGGTCACAGTTCACTGTTTTGTTATGAAAATTATTGAAATAGCCAAAAATAGTAATTCCATTTAGTTCTTTCTATATGTTTGTGAAATATAATCTGAACATAATGGCTGAGTTGAAATACGAAGTTTTTGTCTGGGATTTAAGTCTCTGAAATACAAGAGGATAAAAATTAATTGCTTTCTCTACTGTAATTCATTGCTTTCAAAGGACCATAATGCTTTGAAACTTTATATCTGGTGCTTAAATTTTCATGCATTCTGGCATGCTCTTGAAAATAGCAGGAAAATACAATAAGCAGCGTAAGTTGTTGGTGTCTCTCTGAGAAATCTATGACAAGTAGTATTTTGTACTAGTTGCCCAACTGTCCTGTGCAGTTCAATGCTTCCATGCCAAGTTAGAAGTATGGCTTCTGCTTGACTGGAATTAGCTGATAATTCCCCATTTTTACCATCTGCAAGTCATGTATTTGAGGAGGAACTAGGGAAAACAACTGCTTTCAATAAATGCTTTTTGATATGTTGTCATTAGTAGGGATGCTGACATTGCCACTTCTCAAAGTCCTCTAGTAATGGAGTCCCTGAACTGCACGGCGGCTGAAGGAGACAGCTTGGCATATTCATTGCACTGTGATTTGTGATGTCCATCCTATCTTGCCACATACCAAAGAATCATAGTCAGCCAGTTCTTAATACTGAGTTTGAAAAATTGTGCAAGATAGCCTTCAGTTATAATGATGTTGCATAAGCATAAAGGTTAGAATTTCCAAGTGATTATTTCATTATCACTTGTTATTGAGTGCTTGACAGTTGCAGTTTTAGAAGCTGTTGTTGCAAAGGTTTACGCATGTGTTTCTGTTACTGACCTATGGTTAAGTATCTTCAGCATATGTAGAGTTTAGGCCATTAGACTAGGATTAGAGAGAGATACAGATTTAGTATATTGTAGTGTTTTAGCTGGATGGTTAAATGTGCATATATACACACATATTTAGATTTTTAAGAGTGTGCCCACTTCTTATGTAAAGGGTTCTTCGCAGTAGTCTGTGGTGGAAGGATGAGAGACAATGGGCATAAAGTAAAACAGAAGAAAAAAGAAAAAACCCAAACCAAACAAAAAAGCAAACAACCAAAGAAAAACACCCCCTACCCCCAAAACCCCACCACCACTCCAAAGCTTACACTATGAGGACATCAGAGAAGTGGTGTACTTTCTCTTCTTAGGGATTTTCAGGACTTGACTGGATAAGCCCTGAGTAACCTGATCTGACCTCATAGCTGAGCCTACTTTGAATGGGAGACTTGATGAGAAACCTCCTAAGGCCCATTACAGCTTGAATTATCCTCTGATAGTATAACATATAGGATTAAGTTGTATCTGGTAGATGTACAGGTACTGCATTGATCTCTTCCATAACATCCCCTCCTACTGCTACATGGTAACTGAGTGTAAATTCTTCATTATTTATTTTTAGCATACAGACCTTTTCACTTAGTGCTTAATGTTTTTAAATATTAAATGACATTAGTATTAAAAAATTGGTTTTGCCTTTCTGCATGTATAAGTAATATATATGGATATATGACATATATGTTATGACATAAATATAACATTTTTTACTTTTAAAAAATCAGTAATGTTAAAGTTACTATCATGTTTGCAGCTGCAAACAAAATAAGCTTTAATAGAATCTTGCACTTCTAATCTTCCTAGGTGACTGTCAGCCTCTGGATGTCTCTTCTGTACATCATAACAACACATTTTTGAAGTACTCTGTATCATTGCTGGGTTACGGTTTTTATGGAGATATATTAAAAGATAGCGAAAAGAAGCGATGGATGGGTCCGATGAGATATGACTACTCAGGTAACTTTTGTAATTATTACATTCTTTTGTCAGCATGTAAACATACTGGAGCAGTTGATGTGATCTCTCAAAACCAAGCTTCTCTGAAGCTTTTAAACATAAGAGGCAGACTGAACCTGATTCTAAATTCCTTGTGGTACCAGGTACATTGGATCACATTATGTAAAGCTCCATAACTTGGGGGATAACATTAACAGTGTGCTCATTAAAGTTGTTTTGAATTTGACTATATAGCACAGTTAATTTATTAACTTATAGTTAGTATTTTAAGTATTTTGAGCTTTATATAGAACTGAAAAGCTTATATTGAATTGTTATAAATGGTGTTGGAAGCAACCCTAATTCAAATTTTTCAATAAACTTTTTTTATTAATAAAAAATTGCTAGTGCTGTTCTGTGTTGTTAATAGAAACGTGTTGCTAAAGGTCACCTAGTGATAGCTGCCTAAAAAGTAGTATCTTTTCTGTGCTAATAATTTTTACAATCATTTCAATCAGTTAGAGGTAGGCACTCCTCTGTCTTGGACATTTAGCTGATAGAATGAATTGTTAATTTTGCCCTTCTTCCAGCACTGATTATGGAGAGAGCTGAGTGGTTTAGCCTAGTTAGCTAATATTTGGACAAATCCTATGCTACTGGAAAGTATTTTTTGCCGCCTTTGATTTGTTTTGTGTTAGGGAAAGAAGATACAAAAGCAGAATTTAAGTAGTGTAGGCTAATTTTAAGATTCAGCAGTGATGTACAGCTAAAATTTTTAGTTGGTTCTTAAAGGTGTCAAGTAACGTAATGGCACTATTGGTAAATGTTAAAAAGTTGGGGGAGTTATTTCCTTGTCCTTTACAGTCTAAAACATCGTAACACAAAGAGCTGTGAGCTTGAGGAGACCAACTATTGTTTTGCAGTCCTTAGAGAAGGAAAGAAGAATATTCAAGGGATGTATGCAGAGGTGGATTTATAATGACTTAATGCTGCTTAATACCTTTTTTATGTAGGCTTCAAGACTTTTCTTTCCCATCATTACTATGAAGGAACAATTTCTTTTCAACCAGCAAGACACACACTGGGATCTCCACGAGATAAAGATAGCTGCAGAACAGGGTAGGCTAATGTTTATCTCTGGATATTTGACATGAACTGTTTGAAAAGGCGTGTGCGTAAGCAGAAGTCACAGAAATGTTTTTAACACCAGAATACTTACTCTGAAAGAGACAAGCTTTTAAAAAAGTTTATTGACTCATTAAAGAGAACACCTTATTTTATCAGGTCAGTAAACAAAAATGTAATAAAATTTTGTTAGCTGGTCACCCCCTCCCCCAATTTTAAATTAAGCAAAGTATAACAGCACAGTACCCAGTTACAAGATGCTGAGGGTACTATGCTGTGTTACTGCTAATAGATGAAAAGTCTGGATGCCTCGTAGCTTTTACAAATGGAAATAATTATTCAAAAATTCTCAAATGTTCACACTGTAATTGGATCTAGCAATTTTAGCAATTGTCTTAGTGTCATGACAACAGCTGGCATGGCTTGTCCTGAGGATAGGTCCTCTCAAGAATCAGCCTATTTAGCTATTTTTTTATAGACTACTACTATGCTGTATAAATTCTCTGTGATATTCTTCACTTGTTTCTCCAGTCAGGGGGCCTACCTTGATCTCCCAGTGTTCCTTCCTTTCTCTTTGCTTTCACCTGCTTGAAGTTATGCACTAGTATTTATTATTCTTCTTCATATATGAATGTAGCTATCAGAGATATAGTAGCTGTCACAGCAGCAAACAGCACACCAGGATACAGAGTAGCTACAAACGTTGGCCTGAAACTATGTGGAACTTGTTGAGACCATGCTGTAATAATAGTGCTGTGACATGCTATAGAACATGGTCTCCAGTACTAGCTGGAGTAACTATCCTGATCCATCCCATGCCTTGATGCAGGGGAAGCTCCAGAGGGAGAAAGCTGTCATCCAGGTCTCAGTCAGGGAGTAAAGAGTGTCTGATGCCTCACAGGGGATTTTATACATCCTGACGTAGAGTGCCTGATGCCTCATGGGAGATATTATACATCCTTATAATTGCTGGAAGGGCAATAGGGCTGGACACAAGCAATTCGGGAGAATCCTGGAGTGTGGCGATGACAGTGATCGTGCAGGTGATTGACAAGCTGACTAGAGGAAATGCTTTGCTGGTCCTTTTACAGAAAAGGAAATTGTGGGATATGATGGTTGAGGGCAGTCTGGCAGTGGTGGCGGTGAGATTATAGAGTTTAAAATCCTGAGAGAAGTAAGCAAGACAAAAGGTAGAATTGCAGCCCTGAACTTTAGGAGAGCAGATTTTGGTTTATTCAGGAATCTTGGCAAGATTCCATGGGAGACTGCCCTGGAGGACAAAGAGGCCCAGGAGAGTTGGTTGATACCTCCTCAAAGCACAAGAACAGTCCATTCTGATATGCAGAAACTTGAGTAAGCACGATAGAAAGCCAACACAGGTGAGCAAGGATCTGAGAAGCAGAGAAGGTGGAAGTGGAATGGGTTACTTTGGAAGAACAGAGACATTGCCTAAACGTGCAGGGATGGAACTGAGAAAGCCAAAGCTCAGGTGGAGTTGAAATCAGTGAGGGATGTGAAGGGTGTTACGTATTATGAAGGGATTATATAAGTATACCAATCATAACAAAAGACTAAAGTAACTGTGGGCCTGCTGCTTAGTGGAATGGGGAACCTAGTGGTAAAAGATACTGAAAAGGCTGGAAAATTACTCCTTGGCCCCAGTTTTCACTGATCCGCAGGCCTTACAGGTCCCCAAGCCCATGGATGAAGGGGAAGCAGTGGGTGTTCCATACCTTGACTTTAGCAAGGCCTTTGGTACTGTAGTATTGTTAAAAGCAAATTGATGAGGTGTGGACTAGATAAGTGGATGGGTGGAAAACTGGCTAGACTACCTAGAAAGGTTGTGAGTACCAAATCCAACTGGCAGCCAATTACTAATGGTGTCCCTCGAGGATCAATACTGTGGCTAATTCTGCACAACATCTTTTAGTGACTGGGACTGTGGCAGAGAGTATGCTCTCAGCAGTTTTATGGATGATACCAGAATGGGAGGAGTGATTTACAAGTTGAAAGCCAAGGCTGCTATTCAGAGGGACCTTGGTGGGCTGAAGAAATGGCTGATAGGAACCTCCTGAAGTTCAGGAGAGACAAACATCATGCATCTGGGGTGGAATAGTCCCATGCAACAGTACTGACTGGAAGGCAGCTGTGCCAAAAAGAACTTCGGGATCCTGGTGGACAACAGCTGTACCTGAGTCAGCAGTGTGTCCTTGCAGCAAGGAAGGCCAATCGTGTATTGGGCTTTCTAAGCAAAAGAGAAGCCAACACGTCAGGACCAGTGATTCTTTCCCTGTACTCAGCACTTGTGAGATGAAGGACTGTCTCCAGTATGTCAATGTCTTTCACTGTTATGGCAGTCAAATATTGGAACAGGTTGCCCAGAGGTCTTGTGGACTCTACCCTTGCAGATATTCTAAACTTAATCGAACAAGACACTGAACATCCTGATCCTATAAGACCTGGTTTGAGCAGAAGTTTGGACCCCATCACAGGTCCCTTCCAACCTATGTGATCTTACGACTCTGTGATGCTGTTATTTCTGACATCCAGTAATGTTCGGCACTGTATTTAAGTACCTATACTGCCTGCAGGTCTATCATGATTCATGCCATATCAGGATTGTCAGTGCCATGCTGCATATTGTGGTGGGGGAAGGTCTTGTAATGATTGGCTAAAACAAAAAAAGTTGAACTGAATAATGGTGGTGTTTTCAGGAACTGAATGGTATTTTTGTTTTCAGATGTTACATTTGCAAGAAAAGTGAGCAACAGCTGGCAGAACAGCACAAGGAACGTGGATTAAAACGTGAAGGTAATTTGTCATAAAAAGTAAGATGTTGTAGTATTATACAAATTATTATTTTTTCAGAATAGATCAGTTCAAGTGTGTGCGCGTTGTGTTTTGGTTTTTTTAAAACATTGTGAGTTACTAGACAATCCATTGTTTCTTTAAGTTTAAGGAAAATACATGTAAATATGTGAAAAATATATAAGGTGTCTCCTTTACCCAAACCTCAGAAAATTCTGATAAAATTAGTATAATTACTTGTATATTTCAATGTGTTGAGCTTATTTTCTTTAAGAAAGTTATATTCTGTGAGCTAGGACTCTGTTCTTTTTGTGAGAAGGACTTAACTGATAAACTGCGAGGTAGTATAGAAGGAAGCAGTTCATGAAGATAACTTGCAGAATAGATCAGGATTAAAAATCTGTGTTTGTTAGCACAAAACTCACCCTATGTAAAGCTGTTTATTAAATAAATATGAGGCAGTGAACTTGGACAACTAATAACTGATCTAGTGGACATAAATATTTCTGTACAATACCCTACCCATACTCAGTATAAAAGATAAATTAGATTCTTCTCCTCTTTCTCAGGTTACACTATCCTTATTCCCTTCCCCCCCGTTCCAGTTCCTGTGTACTTCCATGGATCTTTTTATGGGCATAACTTTTCCTTCCTTTTGTTAAAACAGCTCTTAATGTACTGGATTCTGTGCAGCAATCCTACTAGTTGTATCTCTTTATGTCTGACTACGATGTCCTTGTGGCCTTGCTGGAATAAAATATACAGATTCAGCTGGCCGAGTTTTGCCTCTAGTCTCAGTTTGTCATCTTGGATAAACCTCTCGTAAACAGCAGGCAGTCTTCCCATGGGTGCTTTCTTCTGCTTTTCCTCTCTTTTTTTTTTTTTCTTGTAGAGCCCAGTGCATAAAACCATAATTTTCTTGACACAAACATTGGTCCTTATGACCTAGCTTATCTTATAATTACAGTTATTTAGCACAGTATCTGTGCCAGGTTCTAGACATTTGTTAGCAAAAAAGAGTATCATCATACTATAGAGATTCATTGGTAGCATAAAGACTGTATATAGATTTCTATGCCAACTTGAATTCCTGTAACACATGCTTATATATAGTGCTTGCTTTCAGATCTTTGATGTAGTCAACAGATGGCCTGATTGGAGTATTTCTTGAGTTGTTTTAATTTATGCCCAGATTCAGCTAAAGAAATTGCTTGACATAATGTTTTCTTAGGAGCTAAATCTAATAGGTTTTTTGTTAAGGAAAAAAAAAATCTGTCTTTTTGAGAAATAACTGTAGTTAGAAATTGCCAACTTTTTTTCTTTTGTGGTAGGTTTTGGTTTGGGGTTTTTTTTCTTTTGGTTTGGGGTTTTTTTTTGTGTTTGGGTGGGAGTTTGGGGGGAGGGTTAGGTTTGGGTTTTTGTGTTGTGGTTGGTTTGGGTTTTGGTTTTGTTTGTGGGGTTTTTTTTTTAAACCTGTCATTTTGTTAGCTTTGACCCAGCAAAGGAGCAAAGGCAGAAGAAAGCTACAGGTTAGTGAGCAATCAAGACTGCTTTAGCCGGCATTGCACAAGACATTAAGCAGCTGATTATTTAAGATATTGTTTACTTAAATCCATTTCACTTCTGGTAGCTGGCTTTCTTTGCAGTTCAGTCTCTTCAGTCAGTACTGGTAAGCAAACAATAACAATCAGCTACTCTTGTTTTGCAATAAAAGTGATTTTAAATCACCACCTCAGATAGGCTTTTTATTCAGCAGGGTGTATTGTCTGACTCTTTCATTGTGCCTACTTGGTTTGTGTACAATTCAGGTAAGTTTAGAAGGATCCTTCCGTTGGCTGTCACTGAACATATTTATTTGTATTGTGCAGAAGTCTATGTGCATGTGCTGAGTAAACTTTGAGTGTTAGTACTTTACGCTGATTTCAGCAACTTGCAGTATATATACACAATAGACAGTGGAAATGAGTGTCGTTTATGCTCTCCCTGCTTATGATTACTCTATTGTATGAAAGATACTGTGGGAGAATAAATTGTGCTATTACGGTGATGCACCCTGTAGAATGGTTGTGAAAACAGTTGATCATTTAAAATGTGATAAATACCCTGACTTTGTTCTTACTTGAACAGTGAAGCTTTTTTTGAGTAATGTGCTGAAATTTATACTGAATGGTATTTTTTCACCAGGTGAAAACAATCTATTACAGTAACATACATAAGCATTCTACCTTAAGTAATTTGAAACTTACTTATTACAGTGAGCATACTTCAAAAGTTAACATATATGTAGACACACAATAGACTAAATTATTAAGGCTTCTCAGATAAACAACAAAAGGATTTATCAGTGAAGGGTGTTGTTTTCATTTTGTTGTTTGTGCATCAGAAAATGCCTGGTCTTCTTGTAAATAAGCACTTGTATAGTTCTGGACACAGATGTTTCCAGTTCCAGTAGTTTCTTATGTTCTGTTCAGTTACCTTCATCTCAGAGCAGCACCTTGTCATTTGCCTGCAGCCTGAACAAAGTCATTCTGTAGTTTGACATTTAAGTATTTCTCATCTCTCAAGATATACATTTTGAATCTGATTTAAATTATTTCTTTCTGTAATGTCCTCTTGAAAACAACATAAAAAGATAGCAGTAAAGCGAGCAATACTAAAAGCACTCTGGCAAATGATGTGAAAATGTTGCATTTAAGAGCTGCATTTTTTCTTGTTGTTACTGATTTGTTTATCAGGAAACAGAGAGGATAGTCTAGATGGAAAAAGAATAAATTTTTTCGTTTCCTTTAAGTCTTTTGTCACATTATAATCCTACTTTATTTTTCCTGGAATTCTGTTTTTCTTGGTTCTCTTACTAAAGAGTCGGTAGTAAGAAGTTCCAATGAATAAAAATTCAAGAAGGCAAGAAAAGTTCAAAGAGTAAAGAACAACTACAGAATACTTTCCAAACATTTTTTTTCTTACTTTTTCTTACTTTTCTGATGTATAAAGCTTGGAAGAGGTCAGTTCAAAATTAATGCATCATAGACTTTAGGTCCAAAATTACCTAGAAATTGTAATAATGATTCTCTAAAGTAAATGTGAAGTTCCTAAAACTAAACCAGTAAAGAATATCAGAATCTCAGAACATGAAATATATAGCATAAATATCATCTATAGTCCCATGAAAGAAGTACCTTGAAAATAACTATATGTTAACCAAAGTGTGGGAAACTGAGTAATGTTAGATTTCTAAGTCCATACCAGTTAATATGCCTCAAAACCTCTACCTTGCTGTGGTTTGATAATCAAACTTTAACAAGCTTATATAAACAAACTTATCATTTGTTGTTCATTCCTTAATTTTACCCCCATCATCGACAATGGCACCTCACTCCTGAACTCCAGTTTTAGAACCACGTGTATCTCCATAGACTATTCTGCAGTCATTAGTTCTGTGGAGTTGTTCATTTGAAATATGTGAGGCCACTTATATTGTGGGGAGAAAAGGAGTATTATGGCTGCTTTTATGGCTTTTTCTTATTGTAGTGAGGAAGGCAATTATGTGTCATCTAAAAATGCAAAGGCATTTTTTATCTATTTTTACCCATATTCCAGAAAATACAGTTTAGATGACAACTCTGTGCAGTGCCTGTCAGTGTTTATTTGTTCCAGAAAATTCCTCTGCCTCTTCATAATATTGATGCTGTCACACATCTAAGCTCAGTCTAGGTCTAATCTCTTAACAGAACAGTTTCATGTTGTTGAAAACACTTTTGTATTGTTTTCCAGAAATCTCTGAAGATTTACGCACAGGAAGGTTCAACTCTGCTAATAGTATTCATCTTCAGACATTGGGGGTTGGGGTGGAAACAGACTCCTGATCTGCTGCCTCCTGATCCTTGTGAACCCCGAGTCATCTCTTCCCCTTTTTCTTAAATATAATTCTTAAACATAATTTGTGGCATCAAGGCAGAAGAGGAATAGTGATTTAGAAACCAAATGCTAAACCACTGTCTTTGCATCATTGTTTATTTAAGATTAACATGTTGAAGAGAAGAAAAAAATATTCTAAAAAGTTAAAAATCCTCCTGAACTTTCACACTACAAGAGTTTTAACTTGCCTTTGTCTTTTTCCTGCCAAAGGCTTTGTGGTTTTACCCACATTGATCCTGAATTTGACATGCATATATCAGAAATGGTGAGCAGTTTTAGTACATAATCACAGTCTATGAAGGGAAAAAGCAACTTTCTCTGTTACTATATAAAAAATAGATATTTTTTTTAATGCAGTTTATTTAAGATATTTATTGACAGTGCATGAGTATGCCCAGTAAAAACTTCTAAGTTGCCAAGAATGATTGCTTTTTAGTGTTCTTCCGAGTAGAACAAATAATAATCTATCTCCATGCCTTTATTGATGTGTTTCAGAAGATGAAGAGGAATGGAAGGTTATTAAAGGGAAATTTCTAGCCATCAATGCAGTAAATATGAGCTGTGCCTGTCCACGAAGTCCAAAAGGTCTTTCACCAGCAGCTCATTTGGCAGATGGTTCAGCTGACCTCATTCTAGTTCGTAAATGCTCCAGATTTGATTTTCTACGGTATCTTGTCCGACACACAAACCAAGATGATCAGGTGTGTATTCCCTTTGACAATGAATTCTCCAGAGTCAGTCCAAGTTGTAAATACTGATATTCTTATATGACAAAAAGAACATCTGCAAAGCAGGTTGGTTGTGGTTTTTTTTTTTTCTCTTTAGAAGTTTATACGTTTTGGGTGACAATCTCAGCATATGTACCATTTAAAAAAAAAAACCAAACAAACCCACCACATTTTAGCTAAGTCAAGTCTTTGGCCATAGCATTCTAACAAAATTCCACTTTTGCTAATTGAATTCTGTTTCATAACAATTTCCATATATTTACTGTTTGGACAATATTTAAAGTGATTTTGTCACAACTGTGCCCCCATGTATTTGTCATGAAAAACTGCTCATAGCAGTATAACATAGCTGAGATAGAAGATGTAGTGAAGAATAATAAATCACTTTTTGTAAACTGTATAAAAATGTGCTTTAGAAGAAAGTTACCAGAACTGCATTTTGCTGTAAACTGCAGGCTTTTAGCAGAATTTTACTACCTATATGTGACCAGGATATGAGCTCTATGCATTCAGCTTTCAGATTATTCCTTGCATATGTTGTAGCTGTCAGGATAAACTACAAGGGAAGGTTCATCACTGCTTTGGATTGTAGTATCTGTTGAAACCAGAGCTATGGCTGTGAATACGCATTTAATATTTGTCACAAGCTGATATTATTAACATGTTCTGGAAATTATCTGAACAATGGACTAATGTCATATCTAGTTAGAAAAGCAATAATAAATCTCACTTGTTCATGATGCTATTCTTCCTTGTCTGTAGAAGAATTAGTATAGATTCTCTTTCCTGTATTTCCTCATTACCATTCCCTGGGATGGTGTGTGTGTGTGTCTGCATTCTTCCTTCCTGCTATTCTCAGTCTCCTCTTCTTCTCTTCACTTCTTCCCACCCACTCTCACTGTTCCCTTGATGTGTTTGATTATTTGAAGCCTTCCCTGGCTACCTTTCAAATTGGCTTCAACATTTATCAAGAGACTACATGCTGCTTGGACTTGAGACATGAGAGCATTCATGGGTGGGTGGCTCTGTGCAGCCATAGATACCAGTTTTTGCAGCTAAGCTGTTTGGACGAGCACACTGCTTAGTGAGCCTCATTGTATCCGTAAGCCACTGCTTCCAAGCGTGGAGTTTGGCAACTTCACAGCTTGTTTATTGTTGAAAGTCGAGGAAACTTAAGACCTAGGAGGTCCCTTCAACTCTGATGCTTTTTGTGATTGCCACTGTGACCATTCCTCTTCCAGTGCTTCCCAACTGGTTTCTCTCTGGGATATGTTGGTTTTGCAGTGTAGATTAAATGCAGGGTTGTACCTATGTCCTCCCCTCAGGTTAGTCTCTACCATAATAGTGGGAAACCCTGTTCGAAAACTTAAGAAAATGTGAAAATAAAAAGGAAGAAAAGGGTTGACTGTACATTAATACAGACTGGTTTATGGGTATACTGTTCCTTTTTTTACTTCTGCTTCCATGCCATCCCCTTCCCGTAGATGCACACAGACATACTCCATTGCCTTTGCTAAATGACATGTCAGTGTTTATTACAGCTTGATAAATGTTTAAGTCCATATCAGTTAAGTTGCTTTCAGGGCAGGTGGGGGCACCCTCTAATTTGATTGTTGCTTTAATTTACAAAGCCTGTTTTAAAGCATTTGTACAATATATTAGTATAAATCTGAAACCTCTGTTATAAGAGCAATCTCTTAATTGTCCTATTTCTAGCTGAATTAACTAGTTAAAATTATTTTTATTTTGTTGGAATGTAATAATATTGCTCTCTATTCTTATTTTTGCATACATCCAGCTCTGTGATGTGATCACACTGCCATGGAATTCTCACCTTCAGGGTATTGTTCCAAATGCAGAAGGCTTTCAGAAAAGCCCATGTGTCTTAAGGACTGTCGTTGAACAGGTCCTGAGGATGGTACAAAGATCCAATCCAAACCTTTTTGACTTTGATTCCACGTTATAGTAGTTTTTAAAGAGTATTTTTAATAGCTTTTATACCCCATTTACTCATAATCTGAGAACCTGTTACCTGATTATCTATAAAGTGGCAGTATTGCAGCTACTTGAAGAGGACCACTGAAAGTAAGTTTCCATTTCGGTTTTATTGTTTCTGACTTGTGCAGTTTTTTAAAAACAAAAATCACACTATGGTTCAGGTAAGTTTCTTCTAGAAAATTGGAGTGGACAGACTTTCTTGAATATGAAATGCTGTGTGCTAGGTTGCTTTACAGATCAAATGTATTTAATTGTAATTGCCTGGTTTGCTTTATTTTTTTCTTTGTAGTTTGACTTCTCATTTGTAGACGTTTATCGAGTGAAGAGTTTTCAATTTACATCAAAGCTTTCAGAAGACAATGAAAGCAATGTCACGGACATAGGAAAGAAACGTTTTGGCCAGTTCTGCAGAGATCATCCAGCCTGTTGCTGTAATAGTGCTAACAGCACCTGGAATTGTGATGGAGAAACTCTGGACAGTTCAGCAATTGAAGTGAGGTAAGCATCAATTTTTCTTCCCATATATCAGAAATCATTAAGCCTTTTCATTGATTTTTAAAGATGCTCATAAAGACATCTCCAAAAGATGCCTCTGCATAGCACATTTGAGTATTCTGATAATAAACTTTATTTATTTTTGTTACTTTTTTGAGTCCTTTCCAGAGAATACTCCAACCATGTATATTGTAAATGATCAGTCTGAGATAGATGGATGGCCCTACCTTTGAAGTCATGCTTACTTCTTAGGAACTGATATTATGTGCTTGAAGTGCTGAAGGTGAAGGTGGTGTTGGGAGGATTCTTTCTACATGAGTGGAGTACCTCATGACTCTGAGCAATAGCTTTTCCCATGAAACTTAAGCTGAAGTAGGCATCTTTGTTTTAAAGAAATACTGAGTATTTGTGGGGTTTTGACACACAGCACAGACTCTTATCTCTCTAGCCTTGGCATGTGGAGAAAGAAGGTTGCAGTTGTGCATATAATGAAATTAGAAGGGATTACAGGTTTGTGAAATTTGAAGGACTTTTTTTCTTTGTTGTTTGGGGGGTGGGGTTTTTTTGGTTGATTGTTTTTATTTGTTGGTTTTAGAACAAAGAGAACCAAAAACACAATACAAAATATTTACATGCAAGTGTGTTCCTTTAAAACATAATCACTTAGTAGTCCAAAGTGATTTTTATAAATATTGTATAAGATCAGCTCATTTAAGTGCCCCATAGAACTTTTTTGTGGAAAAGAGGAGTAACAGGAGTGATGGATACATGAAAGCATCCAGCCTTCTTTGCAGGGGAGGACTGTATCAAAAATCAGAGCATGCTTTCTGGAGTCTGGAGTAAGGAACTTTGTCCAACTGCTTGGAATTCAGGGACTGTTAGAATTAAATATGTAGTGCCCATTTATTTTGTATTGATTTCTGTATTTTTTCAGGGTTCACTGCCAGTTAATGAAACTATTTGCAAGGGGAATCGAGGAAAACTGTAAAGGTGAAGCTGCCTACAGCCAGAGTAGCGTTGAACAATTACTATAGACATTGTTCCTCCAATGAGGAGAAGAAAAAATAAAAGCTCAAGGAAATTGAGTAAATATGCATTTTAGTCAAATTGACAAGTATTTTAAAATTTTAGGTGGTTTTTTTTTCTATGGCTTCAGTATAATTTTAGACATCTTATTGCATTGTGTAATTTTTTTAAAAACATTGTAATCATTACAATATATCTTTGAGCAATGTAATCTAAGTTATGTTAGAAAAGAGAGGATTGGTGTATATATATGTATTCACAATGACTGATAAATTCTCTGTGCTTTTCTAGAGAGCTAATTTAGCAGTTGTTTTGCAATAATATCTAAATGTTATAAAACATTGGACTTTCCATTGTCATCAAACCAAGATATCAAGACAAGGTATTTTCAGGGTCTGAGAAGATGTTTTCTGCTGGGAGTGTTATGTAGTTGCATGTGACTTAAATGCTGGACAACAGTATTGTCATTCACTTTTTTTTAAGTAAAATCTTTCATTTTGTAATTCTGACTATACCTTGCAACTTATCAATGCAATTCAAACACACATTCCTGGCTTTAAGTAATAACAATAAGAGTTTAGAAATACTTTGAAAAATAAAAGCACATCTGTATACAGATCATACCTTATCCTATATATTCTATTTATAAAGGCTTCCTTGCATGATGCTTTTTGGGATTATAAAGGGTTTTATGACTGTTTGGATGATACCAAATACCACACTGCAACTGAAATGTCTTGCAAGCACTTGCAGGGATACTTAAATAATACCAGGAAGGCACAGGCAAAAGAAAGTATAAATATCTTCTGAAACACCAGCAGTTTTAATTTTTTAAAAATATCTAAAATTAACATATGAAAAGCTTTCCTGTTCAGTACACAGTTCTTTGGAGATTGTACTACATACGTTAAAATGTCTTTGCAAAATAAAATGTTAGAATGTTAAGTTTAAAAATATGATTTGATGATTGAAAGTTTTTTAAATAATGTTTATCTAAATATGAAACAAAATAATTTGTTTTGTGAAGTTAAGGGAAGAAACTGGCATCTGATTAGTCACGAATTCACTGTGCTGATTTGTTTTTATAGCAAAAAACATTAGACTATCGTATAAAGCTATGGAGTGATTATTTAAGTTGTCTATGGATTTGTGTATTGTGGCACATTCATGTTCTGTGTGTAAGCCTGGGACTAAATTCTGCTGCTCTTGTACAGATCTGTTCCTGTTTGAGGATCAGAAGTTAGCCCCTGCTCTCTTGTATCTTTTCTTAAGTGTGTAGTTCTCTTTAAAACTTGCTGCATCTGAGGGAGTTTTGGCATCTGAACAGCTAATGATTTTCCATTTGTGTATATTTATTGGCACTTCTGTCATTCAGCTTGTATTAATTTCATGTTTCATGTATTTGGTCCGTGTAAGTCATGCTGATTGGTCATTTTATTACTGAAGCACTTGAAAATGGTTATAAGTGGCAGATTTTTTTTCTGTTGAAGTTATTTACATTCCAGTTTTGTGTAATTTCAAAATGGTGTGCTATGTCTTTGCTACAAAGTATTATTCGTACTGCTCTATATGACAAAAAGCACTTGGAAATGATACTTGCTTAAAGTACACTCATACAAAGTTTAGGATCTGGTTTTTGTTATATAGTATTTCAGGGAAATACTTGAATACTTTTCCAAAAGTACTGCTGTTTACTGTCCTTACTGATGCAATGAGTTGTAATGTTGATTGATCCAGTGTTTTTCAGACATTTGTAACAGTGTTATGTATACTGTATTCTTAAACCTATGTTTAATAAGTGAAATAGTACTTTTGAACTAAGAACCCCATTGAAGATGAGATTATGCAGTTCTACAAATGCAAATATTTTTTGAAAGTGTTGTTTGTTTAGAAAATTCTACAGGTATTGTGGTCTATCCATGAATATTGTGAGAGAACCAAGACTTAAAGTTACTGTAATTCTTGTGCAGGATATGATGGTGCACACTCAGCTTGCCAATGAGGGCATTTATGAGGCATTATAGCTATCCAGATCACGTTCTCACAAATGAGAACAGGAGTAAATACTAACCAGCTCTTTCCATTAGTTTACTAGCAATTCATGAGACCCTTACTTGAAAAAAGGAGGCTTAATCTCGTTGTGAATGTATATTGAAATGTTTTGAATATTTTAATATCTGAAACTGAGTGCTTGGTGTTTCCAAAGCAAGCCGCAGTGAAGGCCCCCTTTCTGAGAAGCAAGACACCAGAAAAGATGGAGAAAAGATCATTCTGTAGTATGGTAATGAAGTGTGAAGTAAATAATAAAGGTGTTGCAACATAATAAAATGAAAAGGTCCTAGATAATAGAAAAGCTGCATAGTTGCATTTGAATAATTCTATTTGTAGCATATTATACTAGCAAAGCACCATGTGAGTTGTATGACATGTCTGGTTTATTTTTAAGAAGAGAGCTGCGTAAGTAATGTCTGCTTGCATTTTAATTCTAGGGTTTTTTCTCTGAATGTAGTCTTAGTATGGAAATTATGTGTAGGAAAATCAAGTTCGATTTTTCTTTTTTTCCCAATCTTGCTGGCTTCAAGATTAGAAAATGTGTTCTGTTTTATGACACTAGGGCATTTCCTTGAAAAAATAAAGTTATGTCATACAGCAATACAGTGGTTTTCTTCTCTACCTTTGTTCAGCAGAAATCTGGCAGCAGCGTGCTCAGTGTAACCAATGTGGGCAGATTAAACCAGGTAGAGAAGTAATTCATAAGCTTCCACTTGGGTTGACCACATCTTTGTAGCAAGTGTGAGTGTGGACAAACACTGAGAGTGAAGGAAAGCAACTAGTGAAGCTGGACTTGCACTAAAACTAAGCAACTCTACCAAGGTAAATCAAAGATTGAAGGGAGGAGAAAAAACTTAGTTATAATGCAAGTATTCAGAGTTATCTATTATGGAAAAATCTAAACTACAAAAAATGAAAGAAAACTACTGTTCTAAGAAGTGTGAAATATGTATTGTACTATATAGTATATAGTACAATAGACGGGTTTTTTTAGAATTTCATTGCAATAATTATTGCAGATGCAGTACATACTCTAATAAGTAAAACATGTTCGTTGTAGATGAACAATGGGCACAAAAGCACAAGATGCTTTTCAGCTCTATTGAGACGTCTGCTTTTCATAGCTTCGGAGAATGGTTGGGTTGGAAGGGACCTTTAAAGATCATTTGGTTCCAACCCCCCTGCCCTGGGCAGGGACACCTTCCACTAGACCAGGTTGCTCAAAGCCCCATCCAACCTGGCCTTGAACACTTCCAGGGATGGGGCATCCACAGCCTCTCTGGGCAACCTGTGCCAGTGCCTCACCAGCCTCACAGTGAAGAACTTCTTCCTTATATCTAACCCAAATTCACCCTCTTTCAGTTTAAAACCGTTACCCCTTGTCCTATTGCTACATGCCCTTGTAAAAAGTCCCTCTCCAGCTTTCTTGTAGGCCCCCCTTAGGTACTGGAAGGCTGCTATAAGGTCTGCCTGGAGCCTTCTCTTCTCCAGGCTGAACAAGCCCAACTCTCTCAGCCTGTCTCTACAGGAGTGGTGCTCCTATGAAGTTTTTTGAAGTGTATAGGGTTTATGTGGCAAGGTTTTGGTAGCTGGGGAGGCTGCATGGGAGGCTTCTGTGAGAAGACACCAGAAGCTTCCCCCATGTGGGACAGAGTCAGTTCTAGCTGGCTCCAAGATGGACCTCCCACTGGCCAAAGCTGAGCCGATTGGCAATGCTGGTAGCGCTTCTGTGATAGCATATTTAAGAAATGGTAAAAAGTACTGCACAGCAGCTGTGAAAGGAGTGAGGGGAAAATAAAGAAACATCCCTGCAGACACCAAGGTCAGTGAAGAAGAAGGGGGAGGAGGTGCTCAAGGCACTGGAGAAGGTTCCTCTGCAGCCTGTGGAGAAGACCATGGTGAAGCAGGCTGTCCCCCTGCAGTCCATGGAGCTTAACAGTGGAGCAGATGTCTGCCTGCAGCCCTTGGAGCACCATGCCGGAGCAGGTAAATGTGCCCTGAAGGAAGCTGCAGCCTGTGGAGAGCATGGGCTGGTGCAAGTTTCTGGGCAGGAGCTGCAGCTGTGAAGAGGAGCATATGCATGAGCATGTTGCTGGCAGGAATTGTGGCCCATGGGGGACTGAAGTGGGAGAAGTCTATGAAGGAGGAAGGAGTGGGAGAGATCAAGTGTTGCGAACTGCCCACAGCCCCCATTTCCCATCCCCCTGCACTGCTCAACGTGGGGGGGGTGGGGGGTAGAAGAGTCAGGAGTGAAGTTGGGCCTGGGAAGAAGGTGGGGAGGGCAGAGGGGAGAAGGTGGGTTTAGTTTTGTTTTTATTTCTGACTATCTTACTCTGTTATTAATTGGCAATAAATTAAGTTAATCTTCCCTAAGTCGAGTCTGTTTTGCCCCTGACTGCAACTGCTGAGTGATCTCCCTGTCCATATCTTGATCCACGAGCTTTTCATCGTGTTTTCTTACCCTGTCCTGCTGAGGAGGGCGAGGGACAGAGCGGCTGGGTGGGCACCTGGCTGGCAGCTAAGGTCAACCCGCCACACGCAGTTAGTTATGCAACAAGGCAATGCTTCCAGACATGTCTTACGGCATGAACAGGAAGATGGTATGTAGAATCAGAAATTTCTCTGAACACCTCTGTCTTGTAATTCAAGTATTACTTCCCTAGAACTCTTGCCTTAATCCCTATGAAGTAAATGAGTAATAGGAATTCATCGTTTTTATTCTCATTAGTCATATTGCTCTTATTTCAAATTTTCAACAGGATAGTTAAGTAAATTTAATGGATTCTAACTGGTGTTTAAGTTGCAGTAAATGAATTCTGTCCATAATGAAGCGACAGTCTCCCCAGACTTCTTACCCACTGACATGCACATGATGTACATCTTGCAAAGGCTTATGCGTGTTCTTAATTAATGTGTGACTAGTCCCATTAATTAGAAGGGGTAGGGCATTCATTCTGCAGTCAGTCATGCCTTTCAAATCCTCTGCAATGAGAGGATTAACAATTTTTTTTTTGATTCCATTTCCTACCTTTTAGAAATTATTCCTAATACGTACCTACCAAAATTGCCAACAAGAGGTTGTCTTCCAAAGATGTTTGCTCCTTTAAGACTCTTACGTGTCTGAAAGGGTGACTTGTTCTTATTGGTAGCTATTTCACCTAAAGTGCAATTTTGTGCCTTATTTCATAGGAACCCTCCAGCAATAAATAAAATGAATAAGGGGGTTATTTCTCTTTTTTTGCATGTAGAGAAGATTTCAATAGTGTGGAACAGGGAAAAAATAGAAGGGGAAAAATAATTATTCATAAAGAAAAAAACCTGAAAGAGTAACTGAAGTGATGCAAATTAAAAAATCCATGGAGACCACATTCTAAAAATTCCATGGAGACCACATTCTGGAAAGGATGAGAAAACAACTGCAAAATGAATTTTAAAAAGAAGAAAAATAAAAGAAGAAATGGGAAAAAAACTCCACATTATTATTTATTTATTTATTTTGCTGGAGAGCAGCGCCTAGTTGTGTGTGTTCTTTAACTGCAGAGAAAAGCTAGCACTAAAGGTTTGAGGAGATTGCTAGAAGTTTGACTATTTACAAGTGGTAGACAGAATAAAAGTTTTTTATCACTGTTGTGAGGACATTTCTAAAAAAATGTTGGGTCATGCTCTATATCTCTGCTTACAAACTTCAGCAAAATAGCATCACTAGAAGAGGTGTTAAAGGAGAATTGTAAAAGCAACTTGTAGCAATACACAGCATTCTGAAATGGCTGTTGGAATTTAATCTGCGAAATATTTATTTTTCATGTTAATGTTTAGCAACTGTATTTTAGGAAAGGGGAGATTGAGCAGCAAAAAGAAA